CGTTGAAAAGTACCAAATATTAAGTCGGCCCAGACAGAGCGGCGACAGGGAGCTGACCCTCGTGACCACGACGTGATAAGGCGCCCGGCGGGGAACCCCCCGCGACAACTAAAATTCCACTGCCGGTGCACCGTGACAGAGTAGTCATTGAGGGAATCTTGTAAATACAAAATCAGGGCCTCAAATAAGATGACTTTTATTCTGGACGTTTATTGGCATCGGGAGATGTAAGGTATGGGTTTTAGCACCCATATTATCTTTGTCATGTTATTTAAGAGATGAAATCTTTTCATTTTCATGCATTTGCGATTGGGATGATCCATGTGGGTGGACAGTTTGAGAACTCTGATCAATTTAAGTTTAAGAATGCCCTGACGGGGACTCGAATCAGTTTGTCCTCATTGTTATCCTTTGAGCTGTTGTAGGCCCTTTGAGAAAAGCTTATCTACATAGACAAGTTCATACAGTCAAAATTGTCTTAGATGGTCACCTGTTTTTCGAGGAGAACAGTGGCTATCTTACACTGTGTCATTATAATGTATAAAAAAAAAACCCACAAAAAACGCAAGGGAAGAAGTTGGAAGTGGGTGTTAAAGTTTGTACAGGTGATTGTTTTATACAGGTAGCTGCTAGGGAGGGTTTCTCTGTATCTGGTAACTTCAAACTTGGTCTTTCAAGGTGTCGGCCCTGGGTCCAGTGACATCCACTCCAGTACAGCCTCCTCCGTCTCAGGCCAGGACTCCCAGCGTTTCCGCTCCATCTGCAGCATCAGACGCTGCCAATAAAAAAGCTCTGGAGGATGCCAGGAATGCTCTAAAGGAACTGCGCTCCGAGTTTGATGCCTACAAAACGGACAAGGCTGAGAATGAAAAGTATGTTGTAATCCTTTGTGTGTTTGTCTCTTGAACCTAACGGGAAACATGCACTGGAGTTCTCATGGGTGCAATTCCAGGTTTGCGCAATGGCACCTCACACAGAGGCGTGCATTCAGTGTACAGATGGATAGCGATAGAGTATGCTCAGACAAGAGCTTAGAACTGTAGAGTGAAGTTTGGAAATGGCACTAAGAGACTGGTTTAAGTTGAATGATGATGAAAAATTTGGAAGGAAAAGTCTTCCTGGATTTGATACTTACAAATGTCAACTTCAGTTTGCCTTGGGTTTTTAAGTACCTGAAGATGGCAAACATAGTAACAAGATGCACGATTAGAACATATTTTACAATACAGTTTTTAATTTTCTTAATTTTTGGGTATGCCATAAACACTACTAATTTCTCATCCTCTTTTTTTTTTGGATGGTAGTTTAAAGTTTTACTAGTTTTGTATAGTACTTATGATTGCTGATCTTTGTAAAGTGAAGAGGAGATCAAGGTGATTTTTCATTGATTGTGCAGTTAAGAAGTACTCTGAAATATTTTGACCCTTTGAAAGAAAATAAGTTATACTGACATATATTGTAGATGTATATTCATAATGTATAATAAAGTCAGTTTGTTGAGAAAATACAAGTGGTATCAATGACAGTAGAACTGAAAGGAACAGACTTCAGAGTCTTGTCTTTGTGCTCCAGAGATTTGAGTACCTGGTCAGCCTTATTACCATGGCTTCTGAGTAATTGTCTTCTGGAACAGTACCGTATGTTTCTGGGTTTTTCGACTGCATGTTGCTTCTGGCATGATTTGTTGGAGCAGTAGTAGTTGGAAAACTACATTTAAACAACACTGAGCTCAGTAACCTTTTGGTAGGAAACTGGATTCTTGTGTAAAATTGTATGTCCTTCTGGTATGAAAAGTTATGTCTGCTTTTATTATGGATTATGATACCATAATTTTCTGATTCTGATTTGATCTCATTGATACCCCCTAGATATCATAAATGAAGTGACAGAGTTTATAACTGTTAAACATTTTTTTTGTCGCATAAAATCTTGAGATTTTGATTTATAATTGTTTGTTTGTTTTTCTGTGTATTACATCTTTAAAAAGAATTGATTCCAATAGACAGAATTGTTTGACAGTGTCTTATGGAGAATATTAAAAAATTATAAATTGTCTCAGTTCTTATGTACCAATGAATTTTCTAGTCTTTTCATGAAAAGTTTGTTGAGTTGAACTGACATACTGTCGATGTATATTCATAATGAATAATAAGGTATCTTTTATGTGTGCGTTGTTGAGAAAATACAAATGGTATCAATGACAGTAGAAATGAAAGGAACAGACTTCAGGGTCTTTTTCCTTGTGCTCCAGAGATTTGAGTACCTGGTCAGCCTTATTACCATGGCTTCTGGGTAATTGTCTTCTGGAACAGTACCGTATGTTTCTAGGTTTTTCGACTGCATGTTGCTTCTGACATGATTTGTTGGAGCAGTAGTAGTTGGAAAACTACATTTAAACAACACTGAGCTCAGTAACCTTTTGGTAGGAAACTGGATTCTTGTGTAAAAATGTATGTCTTTCTGGTATGAAAAGTTATGTCTTCATAATTTATTACTGTTTATAATACCATAATTTTCTGATTCTGATTTATCTCATAGATACCCCCTAGATATCATAAATGAAGTGACAGAGTTTATAACTTTTAAGCATTTTTTTCGTCACATAAAATCTTGAGATTTTGATTTATAATCGTTTGTTTGTTTTTCTGTGTATTACATCTTTTTTAAAAATTGATTCCAATAGACAGAATTGTTTGACAGTGTCTTTGGGAGAATATTAAAAAATTATAAATTGTCTCAGTTCTTATGTACCAATGAATATTCTAGTATTTTCATGAAAAGTTTGTTGAGTTGAACTGACATACTGTAGATGTATATTCATAATGAATAATAAGGTCTCTTTTATGTGTGCATTGTTGAGAAAATACAAATGGTATAAATGACAGTAGAAACGAAAGGAACAGACTTCAGGGTCTTATCTTTGTGCTCCAGAGATTTGAGTACCTGGTCAGCCTTATTACCATGGCTTCTGGGTAATTGTCTTCTGGAACAGTACCGTATGTTTCTGGGTTTTTCGACTGCATGTTGCTTCTGACATGATTTGATGGAGCAGTAGTAGTTGGAAAACTACATTTAAACAACACTGAACTCAGTAACCTTTTGGAAGGAAACTGGATTCTTGTGTAAAAATGTATGTCCATCTGGTATGAAAAGTTATGTCTGCTTTTATTATTGATTATGATACCATAATTTTCTGATTCTGATTTATCTCATAGATACCCCCTAGATATCATAAATGAAGTGACAGAGTTTATAACTGTTAAGCATTTTTTTTTTTGTCGCATAAAATCTTGAGATTTTGATTTATAATTGTTTGTTTGTTTTTCTCTGTATTACATCTTTAAAAAGAATTGATTCCAATAGACAGAATTGTTTGACAGTGTCTTAGGGAGAGTTTAAATTGCTTCAGTCCAGGGGGAAATTTTAATGTACTAATGAATATTCTACAGTCTTTTTATGAAAAGTTTGTTAAGTTATACTGACATACTGTAGATGTATATTCATAATGAATAATAAGGTCTGTTTTATGTGTGAGTTTTTGAGAAAATACAAGTGGTATCAATGACAGTAGAAATAAAAGGAACAGACTTCAGGGTCTTATCTTTGTGCTCCAGAGATTTGAGTACCTGGTCAGCCTTATTACCATGGCATCTGGGTAATTGTCTTCTGGAACAGTATACTGTATGTTTCTGGGTTTTTCGACTGCATGTTGCTTCTGGCATGATTTGTTGGAGCAGTAGTAGTTGGAAAACTACATTTAAACAACACTGAGCTCAGTAACCTTTTGGTAGGAAACTGGATTCTTGTGTAAAATTGTATGTCCTTCTGGTATGAAAAGTTATGTCTGCTTTTATTATGGATTATGATACCATAATTTTCTGATTCTGATTTGATCTCATTGATACCCCCTAGATATCATAAATGAAGTGACAGAGTTTATAACTGTTAAGCATTTTTTTTGTCGCATAAAATCTTGAGATTTTGATTTATAATTGTTTGTTTGTTTTTCTGTGTATTACATCTTTAAAAAGAATTGATTCCAATAGACAGAATTGTTTGACAGTGTCTTATGGAGAATATTAAAAAATTATAAATTGTCTCAGTTCTTATGTACCAATGAATTTTCTAGTATTTTCATGAAAAGTTTGTTGAGTTGAACTGACATACTGTAGATGTATATTCATAATGAATAATAAGGTTTCTTTTATGTGTGCGTTGTTGAGAAAATACAAATGGTATCAATGACAGTAGAAATGAAAGGATTAGACTTCAGGGTCTTATCTTTGTGCTCCAGAGATTTGAGTACCTGGTCAGCCTTATTACCATGGCATCTGGGTAATTGTCTTCTGGAACAGCACCGTATGTTTCTGGGTTTTTCAATTACATGTTGCTTCTGGCATGATTTGTTGGAGCAGTAGTGGTTGAAAAACTACATTTAAACCACACTGAGCTCAGTAACCTTTTGGTTGGAAACTGGATTCTTGTGTAAAATTGTATGTCCTTCTGGTATGAAAAGTTATGTTTTCATTTATTATGGATTATGTTACCATAATTTTCTGATTCTGATTTGATCTCATTTATACCCCCTAGATATCATAAATGAAGTGATAGAGTTTATAACTGTTAAGCATTTATTTTGTCGCTTAAAATCTTTAGATTTTTATTTATAATTGTTTGTTTGTTTTTCTCTGTATTACATCTTTAAAAAGAATTGATTTTAATAGACAGAATTGTTTGACAGTGTGTTGGGGAGAGTATTTAAAAAATATAAATTGTCTCAGTCCAGTGGGAAATTTTAATGGACTAATAAATATTCTAGTCTTTTTATGAAAAGTTTGTTAAGTTACACTGACATACTGTTTTTGTATATTCACAAAAAATAATAAGGTCTGTTTTGTAAGTGCATTGTTGAGAAAATACAAATGGTATCACCAGAACTGAAAGGAACAGACTTCAGAGTCTTGTCTTTGTACACCAGAGATTTGAGTACCTGGTCAGCCTTATTACCATGGCTTCTGGGTAATTGTCTTCTGGAACTGTACCGTATGTTTCTGGGTTTTTCGACTGCATGTTGCTTCTGGCATGATTTGTTGGAGCAGTAGTAGTTGGAAAACTACATTTAAACAACACTGAACTCAGTAACCTTTTGGTAGGAAACTGGATTCTTGTGTAAAAATGTATTTCCTTCTGGTATGAAAAGTTATGTCTTCATTTATTATGGATTATGATACCATGATTTTCTGATTCTGATTTGATCTCACAGATACCCCCTAGATATCATAAATGAAGTGACTGAGTTTTTTTATGTGCTTTTTGTTACCTAAAATCTTGAGATTTCTTTTTATAATTGTTTTTTGTTGTTGTTTTTTTTCCTCTGTATTACATCTTTAAAAAGAATTGATTCCTTCAGACAGAATTGTTTGACAGTGTCTTAGGGAGAATATTTTAAAAATATTAATTGTCTCAGCCCAGAGGGAAATTTTAATGGACCGGTGAATATTCTACAGTCCTCTTTTCATGAAAAGTTTAGAAAATGTCTGTTGCCACAGCAAGGTCTCAATATACCGTCACTGTAGTGTTTTGTTGTTTTTTTACATTGCTTTTCATTTTGTTATGAATGCCTTGAATTATGATTTCTGATAGCCCTGTTTCACTTCTATTCATTAATGTAATTTCTGAAAATGCAAAGAAAATTTGTTTTCAGTAATATTTTACGAGTGCTTCTTATGACAATTTTTATGCCTTATTTTTTTCAGACTTCAAAATGAGACGCTGGAGAAAGTACGGCAAAATTTGTCTGAACAGCGAGTGTCGAACACTAAACTCTCCACCCAGGTGAGAAGTGGGGCTGAGATACTTTTCTTTTCTTTCTAATTTTATCAATGATGTTGGGTGTGGGATGAGGATTATACAAAAAAACTGTTTTTTAGTTCTCTGAGCTGAGATTGCAGTCAGTCTAATGCTATCAGAGGGTGTAGTTTGTTTTTTTGTTGTTTTTTTTGTAAAGTGTTTTACAGCGCTCGCAACTGCATAAGGTCATATGAGTGCGCGGGTGTAGTTTGTAGACATTACTTTTTTGTTAATCAAAACAATTTTCATTCCTCTTTTAAATAAAGAGTAAAGAAATAACAACAACGAAATCAAGTTTTTAAAAATTGGATCTCCATAAGGATGTCCATAAATGCATAAAACTTTGAAACAGTGCAATCTGTCCCAGGCAGAAAAAGAAGGAATAAAGAGGTTTTATTTAAAAATGTAGAAACATATTATGGCAACCCCAAAACGTGTTTTCAAAACACTCTGCATTAGGAGTCTTAAACCTACATGACTAATATAACAAGCACTTTATCCTAGGCTTTAAGGACTACAACAAAACTCTGTCTGTCCTCAGCTTGACTTTGCCACTGAGCGCTACAAGATTCTCCAGACCAATGCTGCTGGATACAAGAAGGAGATTGACCTTCTCCAGGAGAGGAACCACCAGTCTTCTGCCACCATCCTACGCCACGAGTCTGCTATCGCTCATCTGAAAGAGGTTGGTTGCTGTGCCAGCGAAATTCCATTTGCTGTACCCGTCCTTACCACAGGTCGAGCGGTGTAGTGATAATAATGAATTATATACATATAGTGCAAATGCCTTCTTGTAAGAAGGCTGTTTCGGCTTTACAATTTATTATTACCCTGACACGCCATTTAATTTTTTAAAAATATTTTAAGCTTCTGAGAAGTATCTATGTTTGGTGCCTTTTTACAGGTATGCTGACAATAGCACACTAACAAGATCTTTCGTTGTCATCGCTGAACACCCATTCCCACCTATTGGGAAGATGGGAAAGTTTGTGAAAATGTTTTAGACCAAAAAGGTCATGTACAATTGACAGCATCAGTCTACTTTGTGGTGATTTTTCTACTGTAAAAATGTTGGAGATGCACAAAAGATGAAGAATGGTTATGAGATTAGAGTTGCATATTTGTAAGAACAAGAATTGACCAAACATCCATCTTCTCAATAAGTAGTAACTTGTCATTGGGTCCCCCCCCCAAAAAAAACCCAAAAAAACAACAACAAACAAAACAAACAAACATGTTTCCTTGTTTTAGTAAGAGTTTTAGGGCAGTTGCAACACAATTAGGTCATTTAATTTCTGAATATTAGAGGGGCTACAAGAGAGAAATAAACTCAAAAAAATGAGGAGAGATAAGAATGATAGATAATATCTTCTATCTGTCCCAGGTGAAGAGTAGTTATGAGAATAAAATTGCATATTTGTTAAAACTGACCAAACATTCAGCTTCTCAGTACCTTTAGTCACGACCCACACACACACACACACACACACACACACACATACACACACACACATCATGTTGTATTCTATTTGTCCTCCAGGAGCTGATGGGTGCCCAGGAGAACGTGGCTCGCTGGCAGGTACAGGTTGAGAATCTGAAGGCGGAGAAAGAGCTACTAAAGAACACGGAGCGTCGCCTCTCCATGGAGCTGGAGAGCATCAGGCGTGAGCAGACATCACAGACCATGCTCATGGCTAGTCTGCAGGCCATCAAGGTCGGTGCATGGGGTTTGTTTGGTGTGGTTTATTATCCTGAATGTAGTTTTCAAGCAATTATGAAATATATAGGTTTATCGAAGAAACCAAAACATCTCAGGCACGTGGAATGGAAAGAAAAGAAGTATTTTATTGCAAGAAGGTCAATGAAGCAATGTCCAGTTAATGGAAAAGTGAAGAAGAAGAATTATATTTATCTTAATCAGAGTGATACTAGAAAGTATCGGCGCCACGTGGGGAAAAGGGACGGCTTGTTACCGTCGCTGAACGGTGTCTCATGAGGGCATATTGTTGAGACACTTTATATCATCGACAAGTTTTATTTTAAGACAGTTTTGTATTTAGTTATTCTTTTAACAAGCTATGGAAAATAAAAACTTATACTATATCCTTGGCAGTTTGTAAGATTCTATATGGAATTGAGAGAAAAGTTGCTCACTTGGGGTTTTATTCTCGGTCCTGTTTAACTGAATTTTGCTCACTGATATTAAGTGACTAAGAATAATAATATGAATGACATTATGTAAGTGACCATCGGTGTTTGTTGGTTTTTGCTTTGTGTTACTTAGTTTTTATAATGCACGTGTCCTTATATATTATTTGTTTTATGGGTTTTTTTGCTTTTGTTTTTAAAACAGAACAACCAGGAGAGGGCAGAGTTTGAGTCAAGAACACGACACTCAAACCAAGTTGAAATGTTGGAGAAAGAGGTCGCACACATGAGAAGAAAGCTGGAGACCTCGCTGGAAGAAAAGACAAAACAAGCCACAGCCTGGGAGGTTAGTGGGTGTTCTCAGCTAGGCAAATGCTGATATGTCTACTTCATATTGTTATTAATGTTAACATTAATTTTTTTAAATCATGTCATTAGCATGTGGATCAGAGGCTGTAATTGTGCAGGTTTCTGATTTTATGCAAGACAAGAGGTATGGCATGCGCCTTACTCCTCCTCGATGGTTAAAAAAACTACTTATAGTAGAAGTAGCTGAGTATGCGTTAACTAGAACCTATGCTCATTACTTTTATGCAGGTATGGGAATGTCATTACTTTCTGTACCACAGGACATTGTAAAGACAGTTCATTTGGAGTTGGCGCATGAGAAGGAGAAGCAAGCCTCATTTCAGACCAAGGCGGACAATGCCACTACAGAGCTGCAGACTGTCAGGCAGGAGGTCAGTTAGTGCAGAGCTTGCCTCTACGCTGCCCATTTAAAATGCTTACTTTTCCTTAGCCAACATTCCGTTAACAGTGTGCTTTAAATTTGACTACATATATTATAATTAGGCCTGGATGCATGGCTCTCAACTTTACTGCATAAACAAAAATCGATGTAGGTCTATTCTTTAGCATCAGGAATGCATCTGACTAAATTGTGATGAGCTGTGAGGATGTATACAGGAGAGGTGTTACAAATAGGAATGTGTATCTTTTACCCACGTGGAGAAAAAAATGTGTATCTTTCACACAAATGGAGAATTCCAGCTTTTTTGCTTGACTGGGGATATTGTTTATATACCTTTGCATTTTACTGCATGATGTGGAGCATGGAAAACTCCAAAGGGTGACATTTATTTTCAATGGACCTTAGTATTGTCTTTTTTAATATCTTGGTAATATCCACCTTTGTAAAATCAGTTCTGTCTCATATCTCTCTTCACTTTTTCTGTCCTCTCTTCCTATCTCTCTCTTGTTTGTATTCAATGTTGTGATGACAACAATGTTCATATGCGGACAGATTTATTTGATAAAGATGAAGCAGTAGTGCTTCATTATTTTTCATGAACGTTTTTGTCCATTCTTATCTTGGTATTCATTTTTTAAAATATTGATAGAAGTATAGTTTGGTTTCTTCATATTATCTTCTTGAAGTGTATTCACTTCTTCTCTTTGAGCATGTATGTTTTGTGCAAAGTTAAAACAGCAGAGTGTAACATGAGAGTTTTGATGATTTATTTTCAACAACTTGAGCTTCAGTTTTGTCCCACATGATCTTGTTCATACATGTTTCCCATACTTTTTCCCCCCTCCTTTCAGCTGAGCACCTGTGAAGCCAAGTTGGCAGCTGCTGAGCAGAAATTGGAAAATCTGTCCACTAGCCCTGGCACTGGTAAAGATTATATTTACCTCATCATAAGCATTCTTTAAGAATAATGCCTTTTAAGAATCCATAGTATTTTGAACTGCAAACAGTGATGAGTGATGTTATACAGTCAGCATAGATTGTCTATTATTTGTGTGAATGATGGATACATTTTTTGAGTGTTTTGTTATACAATTTCTAGTGACATGGTGAAGGGGGGGATGCTATCATCAGTTCTCAAACAATTTTGCAGTTGAAAATTTTGTTAATGAGATTATGAAATAGAAGTTAGTATGTGACATCTTAAAAATTAAATGTGATAAAAAGCTCGGTTGGATTGCGATTTTTGACAGGATAGAGAAATTGCCAGGCATTCAAGATATAACAACTTTATCAAAGCCAACTCATGGCACAGTGTCCATGTACTTTCATTAAACTTGCGCTTGCCCTTGGAATCTTTCACAAAGGAAACTGTGGTTAAGATGAGATGACTTTTAGACTTAATTGATCCTCTTTTGGAAGATATTAACTGCATACCTTGAATACCTTCTACAGCCAGTGCACACAGTGATGTTTTCTGTAAAGTGATTTTCTATCCTTTTATCCGGTAGGAAAGAACCGTACCATTACATACTGTGAGTAGTGAGTTTGATGAGTGTATCGGCCCCAGTGCTTTCACTTTATTATATTTCTCTTTACAGAAGAAGATTCAGCTTCCTTGGAGTCTCGAATTGAAACTGAAGCTGTCAAGGACTTGAAGAACCAGATGGCTCAGCAGCAAATCTTTGTCAAAAGTAAGGAATTTTCAATTAACACTTAGTGAAAAGCTGTCCTATGACTGGCTGATGAGATGGAACTCTGTGTATTGCTAATGTTTGTAAAGAAAAGAGTTGCCATCTCTCGAACATTTGAAATGTTTTGATGAGATTTTTAGCTGTTGGAAAGGGTTGTTTAGGGGCGGGTTCTTCTTGCTGTGGTAGAAATTTATGCGGTTAATGATCATTTAAATATTTAATATTGAGCAAGATGGATACCTTAGGAGTTCTATTAACTTCACAGTGCCTTAACATGTTTGTTCTTTAGTTATTATTCCATTTCAAGTGTTCAGTGTTAATCCCTAGGGTAAAAACCACAGGATGTTTTTTATTGTCAGCACAGAACAAAAGTAAACAATGTCACATAGTAATGCAGCCTTCATTGTTGTAGACTTTATAACTAGTCAGTGAAAATCTCACCCGTTCTTGTTTTTTTCTCAATGTCTTTAGATCTGCAGCAGAAGTTGGAGGAAGCCAAGAAGCATGTTAACCAGTACAAGACTATCGCTCATGAAGCGGAACAGAGTCTGAAGGAACAAACTCAGGTTGGTTTGTTTGTGGAATTCTCTTGACTGCCTTGAGGCTAGTGCCAAAGGCTAAAACAACTTGAAGACTTGAACTTACCTGAATGACTTGAAGACTTGACTTACAACTTGAAGGGTGGTTGGACAGGGTCAATGGTGGGTCATACTTTTTTACTCTCCCTTCACCTTTTTCTGTCTGTCAGTCTTGCAATTCCTGGCTGTAGATAACCATTATTGTGTCCATGTGTGTTTCTCTTTACTAAAGCTAAGACTGCGGGTGGTTTGCGGGTGCTCTGGTGGGGTCTGCTTGTTCTTTCCTATCAAACGTCTATCGTCCGTATCTCCCCTTCTTCTTTTTTATGTTTGTTACTCTCTTGTAACACCTCTAATCTTCTGGCGCTCATACGACCGTATGCAGTTGCGAGCGCCGAAAAACCTCTACTAAAACAAACAAAACAAAGCTAAGACTAAAGTTACAGTGTTTCTTTGCCCTCACTTCAATTGATAACAGACTTAGAAAGTGTTTAATTTACATAATTTTGATAAAACTATCTGGGTTTGTTTGTTTTTGTTCACAAGTGAAATGGTTCTGAGTGGGTGACCCTACCAAATTAAACAGTTTGAAATCACAGTCATTTATTTTAATGGTGCTCTCTGTTTCTTTTTGCGCGATAACCTCCTTATACTTTTTAAGATGTCCATTGTCTTTAGAGTGTCATGCATACCATTTGACATGGTGATGTATTTATTGCTCTCCTGAATCGTGGGGCATAAGATTAATCAAAGAGTTTTATATGGCTTCCCAAACCTCTTATCATTGATTATTATTGAATTGACAAACAATGTGTTTGCTGTGCCACTGTCTCACAATTAAATCATGTCGACCTCTTCATATTGCAGACAATCAAAGAAGTTCAGGCTGCGTGTGAGAAGAAAATCCATGATGCTCACACAGAGCGGGACACCATCACCAAACGTCTAGAACTCTTGGAGAAAGACCTGGAGGCAGCCAATAATGAGAATATTCGACTGACCAATGAGAGCCAATCACTGGTGAGCCCTTTCTTTTTCAGTTATCAAATGAGAGGAAGGGTTGTTTTTTTCTCTATCTAGCATTGATTTAATGTTGTTTTGGGTTGTTCTTTTTTTAATGATTCAGATGTGCAGTTTTTCAAATATGTTTTGTTTCTTGATTTGTATGATGTGTTTATGGGGGACTCTTATTATGTGGTAACATAATTGTATTTAGAACCCCTTTCTTTTGTAATTTTACAGTATTGTTTCAGGGTAGTTTTGCAGTTCAGTTAAATGATTTTATGAAACTGTAAGCTTCCCACGAAGCTGAGATTGTTTGAGAACGCTAACAGGTCTGCTGGGTTAATGATATAGATTGTAAAGCGCATAGAGCTTGCTGTTGAGTGGGAATTTGCGCTATACAAATGCTATCTATAATTATCGCTCTTGTTTGGTTGTGGAGCGTGTCACTAGCCCTTTTATGTCTCTGTTGTTTCTGTGGCTACCTGTCTTAATTTTTCCTTGCATTAAATAACCATTATTGTGTTTGTGGGTTTCTCTTTACTAAAAGAGATATTCTTTTTCTTTGGTTCTTCATCTTCCCCCACCCTCCCCCCTTGCATGTGGTTGAAAGACACTTCTGGCAGGTTCTACTTTTTTTTCTCCCCATTTCCCATGTTGTTGTATCTTGCTTTTTCCCAGCACTAAGTGACCTATTGTGTTGGTGTGCTTGTATTTTACTCAAAAGATGAGACTCAAACTGGCTCCATTTCCACAGCATGGTGACTTGAGGAAACAGTTGTCCAAGCTGCAGAACGAGCTGGAGGAGTCTATGAGCCAAAGGGACGCCGCCGTAGCCAATGCCAAGACAGCCCAGCAGGACTGCAAGCAACAGGCAGACATCGCCTCTAAGGTCTACACGCTTTCCTTCTTTTTCTTCTTCTCCTTCTCTTTCTTCTTCTCCTTCTCTTTCTTCTTCTTCTCCTCCTCCTCCTCCTCCT